CTTTGGTTTCTTGCATGCTTTGCTGCTACACCATGGATGACAGCAACGCACGTCGAACGTGTTCGAGCCTGTCAACACTAAACGATAAGCAAATGCTATTAAAACCTACAGCCCTGAGCTTCTAAATAGACCCGGTTTTGCTCAGCCACGGGGGGGGGGCTTCCTGCCTTCAACTTCATTCCATCTTCATTCCTATTTCGTTGGGCCTTGGAGGCCGGTGGCATCGTGGAGATGAGCGAACAGCCGGAGACCGCCCGCCACCTGGCTCCCGGTGCTCTTCCGGCTCCTAATCGACCTCCGTTGTCTGCCAGGTCCGGAATATCACAGACAGCCTGGATGCGGTGGGCAACACGACCAAAGCCATCACCAAGGACGGCAGCTGGGTGTGTACAGCTGGCCGAAGTTTTTTGAGGAAGGGAGGGAGGGAGAGGGCAAAGTGTCCTGATGACTACTCCGCTCATGTCTAGGGGACCGCAACTGGTTGTATTTACGGCATTTTCTTGCACCAGGTGCGAGAAGAGTTGTTCTGCCGAGACTTGTGCGGCTTCATGTCAACGTGCCAACCTGCACAGCACGTCGCAGCGAAACAGACGGTGCGAAGATGATTTCGCTGCAGCTGTTTCATAGTGTGCAGAACTCGGTGAGCACCTTTCTACCCCGGCCTGCACAGCATGAATACATGCAGAGACCACAGGAGACGTGGTGAAAGTTGCGTGTTGGATGTCGAGCTTCAGGATGTTTAGGGGACGCTGCCATCTAGCTGAACTTGTTGCGCATGCAAAAGACAACGTCCGAGACAAGCGTGTGACAAACCGCATTTCGGTTCGTGCTGGTCGCTCGCTTTTGCTGTCCTCGCCGAAGTGTATCACTTCGACCTTTGATGTTGCAATCGTGGTGGCTCTGACCTTTGCGGGTCTTGTGTTGAACGCAGCTTGCTAAGCTCAGCACCTTTGCAGGGCTTCTCCGTGGGCTCGGCGAGCCTGGCGTTGGAGCCTTAGGACTAGGGCGAAGTGCAAGGAGTGTGCAGAGTGCGAGAGTTGCATCGCCTGAGGTGCTTCCTCCTGTTCTCAGCCTTTCTGGATGAGGTACTGTAGGGGCTGTAGGGCACTGTAAAACCGTCCTGCGGCGACGGGCCGAGGTCTCTGAGCTGGCCGGCGAAAAAGTGGTGTCTTGGAGAGCCAAGTACGACAGAAGGCAGAAGGCTCTTGCTTGACACTTCTGCCCAGGGTGCCGTGGACATTTCAGTCCCCGAGGTCGGGGAGACACAGTCGGAGAAAGAAGGGTCGAGTCCGACACTGTTCAGGTCTTCCTTGGGGGCATCGCGGGTGCGACGCTGGTCTTCTACTTCAGCGGGCAGTGCATGACCGCGGCCGGGCTACCCGGCCCGCCTTCCCAAGTTGACAGTCCATGCAGTCTTCACAGGTCGGGTCCGCAGCGCAGGAGGTCGTGAACAATGTGCCGGCAGCCCAAGAGGGGCGGCTAAAGTGCAGTCGCACGGCTGCTTGGCGGAGCCTTGTGTGAGGCGAAGTCAATTCAGGGAGAGGCCGGGGATCATGGATGGCTCCCAGAAGCCGGACTACGCCTCGCCAGGGACTCAGGGACTCGCAGTCGAGCCAAGCTGGGCGCGGTTTGAAGCCACGTGCGAAACGACGAGGTGTGTCTCCATTGTCACGAGAGCCGCGCTTCGAGAGATGGTGGCGCCAGGCCTCGAGCACCGCTCGCCAGAGTTCACTGAAGATCTCGTTTTCGTGGCTCTATGTTAGTGTGTACACGAGAGGACTGACGTGTGAGCGAGCAGATGTGTCGCGGTTCTGTCTCAAGCCTAAAGGATGCGACTGGTGGCGAGCTTGATCATGTTGGGTGCCAGGCTGATTGTCCTTTCCTTAAAGGCGCACGCAATGTCGAGGATGCGAGTGCGTGCATCGCAAGCCCGTCAATCCCGTCGAAGCAAAGACATGCCTTCGTTCAAAACTTGGTTGGGGCATAGGGTAGATGACGGACAGGCATTGTGGCAACCACAGTTCCTCTTTGTGTCAGGGGCTTGGCTGGGCTATTGGATATCCGCACGTGTGATTCGCCTTTAGTTTCGGTCTTGCCAGGTAGGCTTCTTCTTCAGGGTGGCTTCCAGCGGCGCCCCGCTGCACTGGGAACTTCGTGTTCAGCAGCCTCGCACACCTCCGTTCTGACGAGGAAACGACCGGCTCATTGGTGCGAAAGCTATTGCGAGGGTCCAAGTGCTCCAAGCCGTCTGGGTTTGGTTTTTCGCACATGCAATGCCGCTTCGCAGGCTAGCTTCCTAATGTTTGCGACGTCCTCTGGTGTCCTTTTCGCCATCTTCCTCAACACGGCAGGCCACGGTCTCGGTCAGAGCACCAGCGGAATCTCACTTCTCATGTGGTTTCTGCGCGAAAAGCCAAGCTTCTGCTGTCCGGGAAGCTTTCAGAACCGGCCTGCTCCCCTGTGGTACTGTAAAAACTCTTGAAGCTTTGACCTCGATATACCTCGATGAAATGAACCCTGATGCAAAGCTGTCAGTCTGTTATTAGGATGCTCCAGACTGATTTTTGTTTCTTGCCTCTCTGTGCTGTGATGCTGATGCTTTCCGAGGTGGTGCTTGGGACAATGCGAAGAAGTGCGAGCTGAATTCTAGTTGCTCTTGTGTTCAAGTTTAAGCTTCAGGAACTATGTGACTGTGTTGCCAGGGCACTACAAGCTCGTCGGCAGGTACATCGAGCAGGGAGTTCATGGCGGAAAGGGCAGTGCAGCCCACAAAGCAGCCGTCACAGGCGGGCAGCGGGGGGATGAAGAAAAACGGAGGTGAAGGAAGAGTTCACGGATTTCCGCCCCCGAGGCGACACCGTGGGCGATCCAAGCAAGGCCCAGTCCCAGCCCAGAAGCAGAGCCGCTGATGGCTGCGGTGCAACTGCTGTCTGCCCTTTTAACCGAATTCGTCCTCCAGGACACGGCGGGGCCTTCGCTGCACGTCCTCATCAAGTCAAGCTGCCTTGTTTTGTTCAATTCGATTGAAGCGACGGCGACGCTGTTTGTAATGAGTGGCTCATAATACCAATGGGCAGTAGCATTAGACTTGCTAGCGGTTGGTCGGCAAGCCGGGGTGGGCTGTCGCTGTTATCAGCGATCGAGCATGGCGAGTAACACTGCACAGGAGCGCGCACGCCCAGACTCGGGGTTAATAGGTAGTATTCGGGAGAGAACCCAACGCGACAAAGCCTCGAAAGCTTCAACTGTAAAGTCCATGTTAGGAGTGAGGTGTGCTCCGAGAGGGACCCTTAGCAGGAGGGAAGGAAGGAAGAAAGAAAGGAAGTCAGGAAGAAAAGAAAGAAGCCAAAAGGGAAGTAGGGAAGGCGGTGAGACGTGTAGCCCGGTATGCATGTTTTCACAGTCCCTTCAAAAGCCCCGAAAGCTCGGGGGCCCTAGTGGCCGCGGGGCTTCAGACGCTCCCTAAGCCCTGTGGAAGAAGAAGCGGCGAAGGGGGATTTCATGGGATTTCATCCTTCACCCTAGCAGGCCCTAGCCCTGGCGAAAGAAAGAGGGGGGCGGTTGATGCACCGGTCTGGCGACAGTCAGACTCTTTTTCTGGGAGGGAGGGAAGGAAGGAAGAGAGGAAGGAAGACAGATAGCCAAGTCGTGGGAATTAAATACCTCAACTCTATGATGTTGCTGACTGTAAACTGCATTCTCCGTTCTGGAATCCAGTAACACCGGGGTAGGATCCGCACTAACTTTCTCTGCCGTGCCCCATCTGACAACTTCTTAGTTCCTCGAGGTTGTGTTTTCTCGAGACCTCCCGCCGCAGTTCCTTTCGAAAAAGCTAAGAGGCTTCAGCAAATTGGCGCTGAGGGCTGGAAGGGATGTGGGGCTTCGTTCTGCAGGGTGAACTTTGGTGCCTTTTGGATGGAGAATGATGGAGATACAACTGGTGGCGTGTTTCCTTTCCGAGAGGCATTGCGTGAGTTGTTTGCCAATAAAGCCCCACAGCGGGTGGGTGTGTACTCGCGCTGGGAAAGCAACAGACAGACCATGCAGCTCTCCTAGACTTTTGCAGGCTATTGTCCACGATAACATTGGTCTGCTCACCGCTCTTCGTCGCCACTTGAGCGAGAGGCTTGGGACACCTGACACCTTGTGTGATGCCTGAAGACCCCTGCGCTGAGCAAAGGCCGTGAGAAGGCACTGCGCCACTCGCATCTCAGTGGGACAAAAGCAGGTGCTGGGCATTCAGACGCAGCGTCTAAAGCTCAAGGCTACCACTCTTAGAAGGTGTCCAATTTTGCTTTCCTGGTTGGCGGGCGCATAGAAACTGTAGCGGTCATTCTGGGCACTTTGCCTGTGACTATCCCGAGCGACCCAGTGTCTTGAATGTTCTTGCATGAGATGTACAGTAAGCCATGTTGTGTTCTGTCTCCGGTGCACATGCTTTCGTCCAAGACATCAGACATATTTTGCCATGTGGGGATGTCGAGCGGCTAGTTGACGACTTTCTGGGCCTTACTTCGAACGCGAGTGCTGGTTCGGCCAACATGTGCACACCTTTCCATTGGTCCATTGCTTTGCCTTCTCTAGACTTATTGTGAACTTGACTCAAACCTTGCCCGAAGTATGTCATCCACATCCGGCTGCATGAATCTATGGGTTTTCTCTGGTTTTCTGCAGACCAGTGCGCAAATGACAATTTGCCGAATCACTATTGTCGCCTGCGTTTTCGAGCCGTCGAAATCCGGCTGAGCTTTCTGACCAAACGACGGACGACTCGGACTCGGACAGAAGTCGTACATGAATGCCGGCTTATCGGTATACGACTGAGCGCCTGTGCCAGTATCTTATGAAAGTAGCACAATGCTGTCACGACGTGCTAAAGCCGAGAAATGATTCTGGCTTCGCAGATTGTGTCATGCCATCTAGAAGACACAAAAGCATGATTGGCTGCTTTGGCTTCGGCTTGCTGTGGCAGCGGCATCAGTAGAGCTACAGCACGTAGCTGTGCCCAAAGTTTTGTGGACACCGTTCGATTTTTCATCGATGGCACATGCAAGCCCAAAGCGCAGCACAAATCGAGCCCAAAGGGACGGAGACGACACCGACATTGCTACAGGGTCCGGCATCGATACTTGCTGCACTTAATTAAGCATGCAGGGAGGAAGATCTTGGAAATTTTCGGCTCGGAGGGTCATGGGAAGCCGCTGCCGGGCCCCGGCGGCGTGGCTTGGCGAACGCCGTAAACTCTGCAGAAAGAGAAAGACGTTGATGTGTGGGGGCGACAGGTGATGTTCCGCGCCAGCGACATTCATGGCTGCAGCCTCGCTGAAGTGTGAAACCTTCACAGCCTGTGCCGGCAAAAGCCAGGAGCGCCCGCAGGGCCCAGAGGCCCAGCTTTGGTCGCAGGCGGTCGCAAGGGCGCACAGCGAAGAGGAGGCTATGCCCGTGCCCGTGCCTGTGGGTCTCTGACCGCAGGCAAGGCGGCCGCGGTTGTACCGCCCCCACCATGGCCGGGGGACCGTTGCAGATGCTGTGCTGAGTGAGCGGTCGACACGATCGTCCGGCCAGGGCTTCTTCGGGCGGAAAGGGCTGGAGCAAAGGAGGCCGAAGCCGCGCACCTGGCAGTGGCAGAGCAGATGAATCACCGTCGCAGGTGCGTCCCCGGACACGGGGGCCGGAGGATGCGGCGGCTGCCCAGGCATGGCGGATGCGACGGGAGCAAAGGGATGCAGCGCGCTTCGCGACTCGAGCTGAGGAAAAAGCGCCTCAGTGACGCCGCCTTGGCCGAGTCCTGAGCCTCGTCACTTGCGTTCGACTGCATTTGTGGCTTAGTTTCTTCCCAAATTGAGATCTCGATTGAAGACACGATTGAGACGAATGCGTAGAAGTAACACTGACAACAGCTGTGACAAAAGCACGGAAAGAAGGCGAGTAAGAAGCTGCAAGAATGCCACATTGCACAAATATAGGAGGCCGGAAAGGAGAGCACTTAGACGGAATCAAACACTCTACTCGGAACTAGACAAAGCATGACCCGACATGTAAACCAGCACCACCGGAGCAAAGAGCGAGACGCAGGAAGGCCGCAGAACACACGGCTCTTAGGAAAAACACAAAGAGTGAGTCCATTGAAGGACATGGAACCCAACAAACGAACATCGAGAATCGATGCAGATGTCCTCCTCATCATCATCATCATCACCATCATCACCACCACCAATGCCATCCTCCTCCTCCGCCTCTCCTCCTCCGTCTCCTCCTCTTCCCCCAAACCAAGCCACATAGATTGCATCGAAGGACGCTAGCTTATTTTAAAGGCCTGTCCACAGCGGGCTTGGCCCACCAACGCCCGTTGCGACTATTTCGCGACGGAGAAGTTGGGAAGGAGAAACGGCTGTTGCTTTTGCCCCCACGACCATCCTTCCGTTCGATGATGTTTTTGAGTGGGCGCTCTTACCTTCAGGTCCTCGCTTACATTCGCAGCAGGGTGATTGCATCAATGAAGATTAAGATGAGGGTACCCGACACCAATCCAAGCCCATCCATTCGACATTGATAGAATGGATTACGCTTTGCGGACGGCGCTGCAGAGTGAAGCTGGCGCTTTGCAGGGCCACTGGCTCGAAGGGCTGGAGCAAAGGCTGGGAGCGACTTTTGGTGTGCAAGGATCCAGTTACAGCATGCCATGGTGTCATAGTTTGCAAGGCGACATGATTCCGAGCCCGGACGTTGCGCCAGCGCTTCCTCTAAATCCCGTCGTTCCAGGAGGTGCCCCGGGTGTGCCTTCTTGCCGTGCTTTGGCAGCTCAATGGACAGGATATGGTCCTGCCAAAGCTGCGCAACCTCAAATACCTCAGCCCTCCGTGCATCTGCCTCTCTCGCTTCAACAGTTATGGTATTTCGCATGCAAGTCCTTGTTGGTCTGAGGTTTGCCGCGCCGTACGGTAAGGGAGTTGCCAAAACGAGGCAGAAGCTGTTCAGGTCCATTGTGGCATTGCAAGCCTCTGATCAAATCGAGGCCGATCGTGGGCAAGGCCTTTGTGCCGGTTCCGGTCTCCAGGCAACAGGCGCGTTTCAGATGCGGACGCAGTGGAGACCTGTCAGTCGTAGCTGGCCACCAGACTCGATGTGGCTGCCGCACCTCATCGTGGCTCCAGATACCAGTCTCACTGAAGCAACCATGAAGCGGCGCATGGTCAGTTCACAGGGAGTTTCCCAAGTGCCTCTATAGCGCGAGTTCAACGCAGCCAGGAAGCGCAGAGGCACGGGTCACCCTTCAACCGCCCTCCCTGCGCGATGGCCCCTTTGCCACCGGGTGTTCAGGCCGAGCCGAGACACTTCACGGAGAGTGAGCGAGAGAAGTACACCCAGTCCTGAAAACATTCTTTCCTCTTCGGCCCAAAATCCAGGGCGAAACCCCGCACGACGGTAGGGAGGATTCCCTTTGCCACTGTTTTTTTTCGAGGAAGAGAAGTACAACAGGGGGGGGCGCAGACTCAGGGTACGCAAGTTGTGCTGAAGCAAAAAGTAGCCTATGTGTTCTAGCGCAAAAACAGCCGCGTGTATGTATGGCAGGAGCTCTCCGTTTGATAGGGCTCCAACGCAAGAGAAGCACACGCGCCTTCAAGCAGTTTGCACAAGACGTTGGGGGGTTCGTGGCTTTCTGACCCAGCGTCAATGGCCTCGAAGTTGGCAGATGGGTGCTCGCCCAGGGACAGGCGTAAACCTTGCGACAGAGAAGCTACGCAGCGGGCAGGGACTTCGAAGAGGAAGCACTGGTGCTGTTTGGCAGGATTGAGAGCCGACATGGACCATTGCACCTCCGTGCCGAATTTGGGGGCAGGTCAAAGTCCCAAAAAAAACGAGGGCGCAATCGGTCGGAGTCGCGCCGTGTGCTTTGAGGTCCGGGCTCGGGCTGCCTGGAGCCGGAGGTCGACTCCACCGTCAGCTCGCCGGTGGCTCCCACAGGCTTCTGAAAGGGGAAAGAGGGATCATAAGAGGGACCCTGGGCCCGGATTCGACGAAGCACTGTAGAGATGGCTCCTGAAGGCTTATAGGGCTTAGGCTCCGGACTTAGACTCTACGAGAGGGGCCTTCAACACAGCCAGCATCTTATATGTTTTTGTTCTGACCAGGCATTTGACCATTGCTTGACGTAGTAAGTCCAGAACATCAGCTCCGTGGACCATGTCAATGTGACAGCGATCATGTGTCAGGTTCCGTCTGTTTTGTAGTCCGAATGCAGCTAGGATGAAGCATGAAGAAGCTGTCTCTGCTTATGCTGTCTCGACCGAGTCCTAAAAACACAAAAGGTGTGATGTTTTGCACAGGCTCTATCCGAGCACTTCCTCCTCGGAGCAGCGTGACAGAGGCTTCTGCGGCATCCCATTGCCGCCGTTACCATGTCAGTTGAGATGATACGATTCTTTTCTTCTCCTTCCTTCAGTGCTTGAGAAGGTCATTGCACCCATTTCTCCTCGACGACGACCTCGTGCAAGGCTATTCCTGCGGCCTAGGCCTAGAAAACTGCCTTCACTGCACAGAATGTCTCTGTGCTAAAAGGCCAATTGCTGTGCTCGACCGCGCGGAGTCTCCTGAGGAGGACGTGGCCCTTGATCTGGACGGCATGCACATCGCATGTTTGCACGAGACACTACGGGCACATCTGAGCACTGAGCTTTCAGGATTCTGCAGGTGACGATCTCGGGAATGGCGGGAGTATCGCATAGCAGAGAAGCAGCAGCAGAGTATTGTCCTGCGCTTCAAAGGCCTTTCCTGGGATGGTAGTACAAGAGGCCCGGATTCATCCTGTCAAGCGTCCAAGGCATGAGGCTTGCATGTCGCTGGCTCAGGCAGGAGGTCATTGAGGGCAACGGAGGAGGCTCAAATTGGTGTCGACCTGAGCATGGGCTCTGCAAGTGCTTCTTGTGAGCTGCTGGAGTTGAGGTCCTCCAACACCGTCTCAGCCATCTGTCAGCCGGAAGTGCACATCCAAGCCATCTCGTGGAAGTTTGTGAAGCCGCGAATTGCACCTGGCGCCGACAAGGCCCCGTCAACTGGCGCTTTCGGGTTCGTTGATGTCTTTGCGGTCCATGTCGGCTGCAAGCTCGGTCAAGCTGTGCCTGTGTCGCGTGTGCTCGGCCATAGAGTCCTCTCGCCCGATCTTAAGGAACACTCCATTCCATGCCCGGAGTGCCCAGAGTCGCCCTCCCCAGCAGCTCGGATGCACGCGAAGAATCAGAAGCACTCGGACGCGAAGTTCCCTCAGCCGAGGTGCGAGAGGAATTCAAAACGCCACCACGTGGCATTGCCGTCGTCTTCTTCGACTTCGTGCAGCCCCCAGTTTGATGCCGAGCGAGAGGCTTACCCTGATCTCTTGTGCGCCAGCACCAGCACTCCGCCACAGTCGCTGAAGCGAGGATGGGACCTTGACCGCTACGCCGGGTGATCGAGCAGCCCGCAGGACCAAGCAGGTCGAACTCTGCGCCAGGGACCCGGATCTGCCTGCCATATCCTGCCGTACATCTTCCTCGTACATGTCTTGAAGTGCTTGAAGGCCTTCGCCCCCTTGTTGCATCTAAGAAAAACTGTGAACCACCTCCTGGCCAGCAGATGTCGAAATTCAGTGCACGATGCTTATGCCATGTCGTGTGGTGAGGTGTGGTGCAGTATAGAACCATAGAAGTGTTCTCGATCCAATTTTTCAGAGACGCGGCATCAGTTTGCTTCGCTTTCTTTCTAGGAGAGGGCTGCCATGCTGGAGCCCAGGCTCAGGGGTCTGTGTGTCTGGCATGCTTGTATGCTCACGTCTGATTAACGTCTGTTTGTCTGCAGCGCATCTGCAAGCTGAGTAGGGCTGTTGCCAGGCGTGCAGATGGCGCATCTTTGGGCATCATTTCCAAGAGCACAGAGGAGCGAGTAGTCATTTTGTGGTGTCGCTACACTGCGCTCACTTCGCCAGGGCACCATCCGCAGCGCTTTGGAGGCTAGCGGCCTCTTGAAATTCTTCGATGCCCCCCTAGTGGCCAAGGCGCGATCGGCTCGTCACATGTGTCGCATCACACCCTCGTGTGTCGTGAGGCCGTGGGCTTCGAGGGCAAGGCCCGGGCAGGGCAGCAGTGTGTCGAACAGGAATCGAAGATTTGAGCCTAAGAGTCAAGCCAGGCCGGTTTCATCGAGGATCTCGCCCTGTCTCGACCTTTCTTGTTCCTTGCGGTTCATCTTAGCATCTCTTGACTGCCAAGGAAGGGCTGCTTGCCAAGACTGGGATCCACCAGAGGTCACGGAGCCCCTTGGCTGCAGCGGGAGCCGGGCCAAAACCCGGCGGAAAGCGAACGCGGACATGCGGGAGGTGCCTTTCAGTCGAATCCTCCTGGTAGACGATGACGTGCTGGAGCTCGAGCGCGTAATGCTGCCACGCTTCAGTCGCCAGATGGTCTTCACCCGAACCGCGTTCAAAAAGGGGCTTTGTTTCATTTGAGACAGCGTTTCGAGCTTCGGCGTCCAAGCAGCGGATTGGCATCCCAGCTGCTCGGTACGGCGGTGCTCCGGTGCTCGCGTCGTCTCGCGTCGCCTCGCGGCAGGCCAAAGCGCGAGGGCTCCAGGTCTATGCCGCACCCGCCGACGGTGGACTGCAGGAGGAGGCCTGCTAAGCAGGGCTTCGCGTTGGTTCGTTCTGAGAAGGCAGTTCTGAGGCCATGTCCGGAGGAGCTTGTGCGGCAGAAATGTGGGTCTCCAGAGATCATAGTAACATAGCCACAGTGCTACACAGGAACGTTCGATAGTGGCATGTTCTTTGTTGTCAATGATTCGTCCGCCCTTCAGTGATGCAGGATTTTGACATCATTAGCGAAGCCCTCCATGTTCCTCGGCCGAGGCGTGTACTTTCCTTTGCTCAGTAAACAGTGTGCCCGCGCGTTCCTGGGATTCGTTGCAGGTCTCATCCGCAGCGAGCTACAATGACACCGCAGCGCTTGGTGATGGCGCCGCCTGGGCCTTCAGCAAGCCTCCGGCAAGCAGCTGTATCAGTCTGTACTCGGAGCTGCTGGTCAAAGGAGGGAGCACCAGGCTAAAGGCATGAAGTCGCGAGTCTTGTGAATACGGCTGAGTCATTGCAGCATGTTGTCCATGTTGTCCGATGAGCCCTTGCGGTTTCACCTCAAGCTTGTCTGGAAGAGTGCGACGTGTGGTGTCAGTCGTGCGCTTCAGCTTGTGGTAGGAGTCCGGTTGAACCCAAGTCAGTGGAGCTGGACGATGAAGCGGAAAGTGAAGTTACAACCAGGAAGAAGCAGACACAAACAAAGACGACTGTAGAAGCCTTTTTGGGTGAGATGTGGGTTCAAAAAACTTTTTCCAGTGATCAGAAACTATTTAAGGTTTCAAAAAAGCGGTTTGCATTTATGCGCAAAATAGGGAGCAGGAGAGACGGAACAGCACGAAGCACAGACACCTGTCCCAGGGATCAAATAGAAACCATTCCGAGCAAAATAAAGAGAGGAGGACAGAAAGCAAGAATCAATGACACAAAGAAAGAAATAACAACCTAAAGAAATAAATAAACAAAAAAGCAAATAACAACAGTAACATAAAGAACGGTATAAATAACAACAAAGAACATTGTAATTCCCCGATGGCGTGGCACAAATGGTAGAGACCACTCAGTCGCTCAGGTGTCCTTCTGCCTTCAGCATGCAGGGCTTGACATACGCTGATGAACTCATCCGGAGCCACTTCAACTTTCATGAGCCGCCAGAACGAATCCCTGCTTACGCGAGGGTAGGCCTTCTCTATATCAAATGATCGTACTAACATGACCTCGCCAGTGTCCACGCTTCTCGTCCCCTCCTCAAGCACATCGTCCAATCTCTTCATGACCGCGTCGTGACTGGAGTCCCCACGCAGTTCCAAACCTGTTCAAGTGCGAGCTCTTCAAGCACGTTGTTGCAGAGCTGTTCCACTGAGCACTGGCCCTGGTAATGTGGGCGGACGCAGAACGACGGGAAGCAAAGAGGTCAGACCCAGATTGCTCTGGTGGTTGTGCAACACGCACTCAGTGCCAAAGGGTTCTTCAGCTACTTGAGCCCCTTATAAAGATGGTAGCATACCGTAGCCAAATATAATCATTGGCACACGATCTTCTTGCATGTTGTGACGTTTCTGCTTGACGTCACTACTTAACTAATGTAGTTCGGCGAGAGTCCAAAGAAAATCTAACCCCTTCAAGCAGTGACAGGCAGCACCCCCGCACCGATCAGTTGACTACGTGAAATCTCGTCTGGTCGCGGGAGGTCCCACCCACCGGCAGGCAAAGCCGAAGCGATTCGGCGGAGTGCAGAAAGAAAGCTGGGCAGCACCGCTTCGGCTGGAGACACGTGCAGGAACTGAAGCATCTGCTGTCGAACACTTTTGTTAGAGCAAAAAGGCAGATGACTTGTGCTAGCAGATATAGCATGGATCCACCCTGCTTGCCGAGGCCCCTCGTTATGCGTACCCCGTCTTCCGCTCCTTCGTTTGGATGCCGACGATCTTCGGTACTCACAGCGTGTTTGGCGTAGGCAGCGGAATTCGGAGCAGACCGCAGCCATCCGCAGCCACAGGTACGGAGACATGGCCGAAAGTCACTCAAGGAGGCCTCACGCTTAGCGCTTGCCGCGGTCTCCCTGACTTACTCGCAGCTTGAGAGGACCAGCCTTTACGTCTCCCCTCATTCAATGACTTTGGGCGCGGAGGCGCGAAAGATATCTAGAGATCACCCGTGACGTCCTGCTTTCTATGAATTCTACAGTCGCCTTCGGCCAGGGCGCTGGCGGAATGTGATCCTCTTCTCCGGAGACTGCTTCGAGGGCTGAGCCAGAGCCAGTTCAAAGGGCACTCATCGCACGCTTAAAGAGATCAAGGCAAGATTCCTCTTTCAGGCGTGAGCTATGTTCTGGCCAAAAAGTTTTCTCCGTACGCTCGAGCTGCGGCTAACCGCCAAGCGGTAAACGCTGCCGTGCATCAGACACAGCAATCTGTGATTTCTTGATGTGCTGAAGCGGAGGCCCATGTGCAAACCAAAATACACGTAGCGGCAGTTCAAGCTGTGTAACATCTCGGCATACAGTGAGGTTGAGAAAGGAAGCAGGGATCTGGTGCCACTGATAGCGTCTTGGCACACCGCTCACAGGGGCATGTGGCTCGGACAGCCAGGAACGTGCCAAATGTGTGTTGCACCAGAGCCCGGTATCTTGGAAGCCTTCGCAAGGAAAGGGACAACACGGCTGTGACATCCTGAACTCTTCCATATGGTGCAACTCCAACTTCCACCACACGACCTTGATCGTTGTGATTTCAGGTTTATTCGGAGTTTTGAAGTGTAAGCAGATCTCAGCTTCTTTTTCCAGAGGAGACTCGACAGACGCTAAACTAATGCCCATGCTACATGATGCTTCATGCAAGGCACTGCAAGTCTTTGTCTCCTCTGATTCCGATAACCGCAAAGCGGTGTCAACACGCTGAGGTTCGAGGTTCAAAACATTGGGAGCTGCACTGGTCCTTTGCTTTGTGGGTAGCTCGACATACACAAGATGCAGGCAACACCCAACACCGTGATGTTGTTGGGAGCAGGAAGTCTTCCTGCAGGCGGGGCCGGCGTGGCTAGACGGCCTCAACTGAAGCCTTGGGTGAGTGGTGCCAGGCATTGAAAAGGATATCGAGGAGGGGCCCTTCCCTGGCCCATGGTTTAGATGCGATAGGGTGCTGCCGAGCTTGAAGCCTTATATTCTCCCAGACCTGTTGTAGGAGCAGGCTCGACAACTTTGCATCCAGCATTCTTTCAGCACGCCAGAAGAGGCCTTGAGCTCAGACCGTCAGTACGGGCTGGAGAGTGCATGCATCGCCGGACTTGGACAGCCCATCGGATCCTAAAGTGAAATCATTTGAAGCTTGTCTAAGGTGAGATTCGTGTCTCAGTCTCTTGTTTTCATAGATTTCCCGTACCAGGAAGCTTGCTCGGGTCTCAGCTATCCGGCATGGAGTCCGTGACACTTCCGTGCCCATGGTTCGCAGGTCGAGAGTTCTTGCGAGTCTCCAACGGTCAGCTCAAGGCCAGTTGAAATTGCAACCAAACGGGTGCGTTTCATCAGTTGTGACATTGCGATTTCTCTCAGGTACGGCAGTGGGTCTACAGGTTGCAGCATTCTGGTGCTGCTCCAACCTCGGAGTCTGAGGTGTCCCATATGGTGTCCAATTCTTGCTGGCGCTTTCCTACGAGGCTCCCAGTGAGGCCGAGCAGGAGGCCGCCCTGACGGAAGGCGAAGCGTGGACAGCCCCTTCGCGCAGCCTATGCTTCCGACATCAGCACTTGCAGGTGTTGAGGAGATTCCTTCCGATACCCTGATGGTACGGTTAATAGGAGAGCTGGAAGAAGCCCGAATTAAGAAGGCCGGTGGGGAGCCATGAAGCGTTTCGCGTCATACACGTGGAGTCATGAGCTTGACAAGCCTGTGGAGGCCTTCCAGTCTCATGTGCCAGTAGTAAAGGGTGTGCCGGTCTCAATGTCTGATTGAGTCCTTTCAGAGCAGAAGGCCAGAAGCAGCATGTTGGGGGGCGATGGATGTGACATGTAATCTGAGGTCCGCATGATGTTGGACAGATCCACCAGAAAGTCAAAGGCAGCTTCCATGATTCGCAGTTTGGAACGGGGTTGTTCGGAAGCTTGGTCAGGGCTTCTGCTTCGTGAATTTCTACACAGTCAGCGATGCACCGAACCCAGCAAGTGGCTGGATGACGGTCAGAGGTTCCTCAGAGTCACGCTGCCGCAGTTTGAGGCCATGACGGCCAAGAACCGGATGCTTGCTGCAGGGTCCATGATTGACTCGCGCAAGGCATGCCTTCGCTGCATGCAGCATGGCCCGGCACATTGGTGCGTTGTACGCGAGGTGGCCATTAGCTTTGCCAAGCCTCAGACGCAAGAGCAGGCAACATGACACCACGGCCGCCTATCCCCAGTCCGGGTGGCCGCGTAGCATTTCTCAGGCTTTGGAGAGTGACATGAACGCGAGAGCCGAGCAGGACGTGATACAGGCCGAAGAAGACCAGTCTGAACCGATTCGATGGATTTATGTCTCCTGCTAAGGCCCAGGCTAACCAGGCCTTAAGCGGTGTCAACGCTGAGATGCCTCTTCGTCGCAGCAAGATGTCGCAGGATACTGTGTGTAGGGCGTACAACATCACTTCCGATCTCTGAGGTGGTCTTCCTACATGCAGTTCTGCCAGGAAGAGAAGGCTCTGCAGCGAGTTGACTCCGGTCTGGTCAAACCGGTCTGGTCAAACTGAGAGTGCAGCCATGCCAGGAAAAAGAAAGCAGAGAGAAGCAGGCAAACGGCGGCTAGCCGAAGACGGGATGATCCAGTGCGTGTCACTTTGCGCACTGCAGGCCCTGTTGGAGGCTTTGGAGGCGAAGAAGCGCGCCTTGGCCCTCCAGGACAGGACGACAAGACCCGTTCTGATCCGGACAGAGGTGGCATAGGTGGCTTTTGCCAGGCTGCGAGCGTGGAGCCCGAAACTGATCACGGCCTGCTCCAGTAGTGCCGTACTCGGATCCGAGTATCAACGCGCGCGAAGCAAAACGGCAATGTCTCGTCTCACTGTCAATCTGGCTGGTGCTAAGATGACTGTCAGCAGTATATTATGCTATAGTAATATGAACCACAGTAGTGAGCAGGCAGGACATTGGCTTGCCGCAGAGCTGCTGTTGACAGAGTTTACCTTGTTTCAGCCTGAGAATTCCCTTGAGTGAATTCGAGTAGCTCGGAACAGACAGGTTGATGTCTTGCTGCTCGGCGATTTTTGGTTCGTGAGTTGCGGATGCTTGACCCCTTCACGTGGCAACTGTCGGTTCGGCTGGCATGGATAGCTTCCAGATAGCTGAGATAGTTTGAGAGACCGTGTGTGTCAATATGGCCGCCGAAGGCTGGATTGCATGAGGGTCATGAGGTAGTCTGATGGAAGATTCTGGAAGATAGGCTGCGTCGCACTTGTTTGTAGCAGTAGACTTGAGTCTCAGGTCTTTAATCGTCCAGTTTGAAGAGCAGACTGGACCACCGAAGCTTATAAAGATGCATGCAGAATACTGCATGGAGATGCTAACGCTTTCGATGTCAATAATGTACAACATCTACATGAGATTAGCTATAAGTCGTCAAGGACCTTTTGCAGTGTAGTATGAAGTTGATACATCGGGACGCAGTCCCAAAGGCCATCGGTCTCTCGAGGTATTCCTCGCGGTGATCTCGTCATTGTTTGGGAAGCGTGTTGCTAGCTTTTCCATTTTTACTCTCATTGCAGCGCTATCTGTCTTGAAGGTAATGTTTCATCTATGACCTCTTCTCACTGTCCTAGTGTACCTCTACGTGTGCTTTGCATTCTCACAAACCTGTTGGGAGCTCTTCTGCGCTCGACAGAAAAACAAACCCCTCGCCCTTATGGAGTTCTACAAAACTATCACAATCTACCTAAACCTTAAACCCCTAGACCCTAAACTCTAAACCCCTTTTTTGTTACCAAAACGCCTAGACTATGCCCGGCAGCCTGCTGCAGGCAGCCCTGTCCTACGTCCTGCGGCGAGAGCAAGAGCTGGAGGCCAGTAGGGGCTCGGATTTGAAAGAGAAGCATCTGCCCACAGTGGAGGAAGAAAGGGAATACACTGAATTCATGACACTAGGCTGACCATTTCTTACTGGCTGTCAGTATGGAATAAGCAAATATCTTATACAGGGATTATACATGGGTTCTATTCCTTTGTTCCCCACTAACAGCCAGCAAGATTTTCAGTATAGAGGTCGGGGAATTCCGTTATTGCCGCCCCTTCAAAATTGCCATCCTTTCGGGGGGTTCGGGGGTAAGCATACCTGTTTCCTTAGACCTAGATCAAGACGCCCCAGGCCTCCGGCCTCGGCGGATTGAACCCTCGACATCGTAGAGACCTGCATATGAACCCTTGCCACATCGGCCCAGTGAGACTTAGCCCGGCATTTCGGGTTCTTCGTTTCTGTACTGACAGTTCTAGACATTTCAGAATCACCTTCAAACTTCGATTGCCAGGAGCTGCTGTCAGCTTCATCATCCTGTGTTTCCGCAAGTGGCCCCAAGTGGTTGCAACATCTCGCAAGGCAGCGCTGCGGAAAAACTTGCCTGGGCCAGCAACTCTGCAAAAAGATCACGAATCCCTCTTTTCATTTCAAAGTTTGATCATCCGGCGTGCGGGCGCATTGGTAACCTCCGCAGCTTTCTGACTTCAGAGAGTTTGAGTTTGAGTCAGGCTCACACACTCACACACTCACACACGCACACACTCACGCACTCCCGCACTCACGCACTCGCGCACTTACGCACTCACGTACTCATGCACTCATGCACTGCTCAAGAAACGTTTGGTGAGTTTGGGCGGGTGTCTGGACTCAACATATAACTGTTTTGCTATCCCTTGCATTTGTGAAAGATGTGAAGGCTCGAAAGAGCAGTACTGTACTAGTCATAGTGAGCAGGTCCATGGTGTAGATTAGTGATCAAGCGGTGGCAGCATTTAAAGCAGGCGCTGCAAGAGTGACCTTGGTCACAAGTTCCTGGGCCCAGCCATGTGGCAGGCCTTTTGGCCAGACGAGGCCCCCGAGAAGCATCTCTTCTGATATTCCGCATTTGTAGAACCCTACTCTTTGCAGCTGCGCGAGGCAGCTGCGACGCCACAGCCTGAAACGGCCGCGTCATGCGCTGACCTGCAGGTGCTCTTCACAAAGGTGCGGAGCTGGATGGCTCAGCTGAGAACTTTCAGGAGAATTCCGGAGATGTATAGATGATTGGAACTGTGCCAGCTTCGCGCGGAGCTCGTCTGTGACTTGCGGCAAGAGCTGCAGGTGCTTCAAGGCATCGTTGCGTCAAACACAGTTGGCACCGAGAAACTCCATTGGAAATCTGGAATTGTCTCGGAGGCTCGTTGAAACAGCAACTCCTGGAGCGCAACCAGGCTCAGTTCTTTTGATTCTTGCGGGACCTTTGGATAGGATCATATTGGAGGCGTTCTGCGAGGAGCTAACGACTCGCCGTTCGCTTAGGTCACAGTTGACGAATGAGAGACTTGGCGGCGTGCCAACAACTTAGGACTGGCAAAGGTGCAATATGTGCCTCAGGTGGAGAGCCAAGTTTCAGTGCGCTGAGACTTCCTGCATGTGCTTGTAATCTCACTTGACATGGCGTGTTCCAGCAACATGGTCGGTTCGGGATCTGCCGCGCCATCAAACGAGATTGGATTTGGCACTGCCGCTGCAGTTGTCTGTTCTGCATCTCCAGGGACATGCTCGTTTTCCCCATCTCCTCATGTCTTCATATTGACATGGGCGTCAGCACAACCTGCGTGCTCACCGTAGCTGTCATCCAAACTCGCTATGGTGTTGTTGTAGGCGTCGGCAGAGTGATCTACAATGGAGGAGATATTGTCGGGTAAGTCCATGCGGCAGGTGTTTCCAGTTTACTTTGCTACTCTCAGTTTCCACCCTGAATCATCTGAATGTGATACTGGGGCCTGCATCTGGTGCGGCAAAGTGCCGTTGCCGGCGATGAATGAACATTCTCCATTCAAACGTGTGCGTGTGCGTGTGCGTGCGGGTGTGTGTGTGTGTGTGTGTGTGTGTGTGTGGAACCCTGTTAACCAAGGGACAACAACACAGCAGTTCATTTTTCCTGCCTTTTTCCTTTTCAATTTTTCAGCAGGGGGCACAGCTCTCTGATGCTACTGTGCCCAACGAAGCTATGCATCAGAGAGGGAAGCATCCACTGGCCATGGATGTGTACCTGCAAGTTTCACCCGCGAGAAATCATTTTTTTAGATCTCAGAGCAAAGATTTTCAGTTTGCAGTTTCAGTGATGGACGCAGCAGTTTCAGTCACACATGTCAATTGTAGACATGTCAATGGATGCAGTTTCAGTCAAACATGTCATTGGCAGACATGTCAGTGGATGCAGTTTCAGTCCAACATGTCAATTGCAGACATGTCAGGGAATGCAGATTCACTCAAACATGCCAATTGCTGACAGGTCAGTGGATGCAGTGTCAGTCAACATGTCAGTTGCAGACATGTCAGTGAATTTGAAGTGGTTGTGAAGTGACGAACCTGTAGCCTCTAGCTACAGTTTTCCGGGCTGCACGCAAGAGTGTTCTTCGACCGGCGTTCTGTCAAAGGGCCGGGCGTAGAACTTGATCTTACCCGATCGCACCAGCGTCAACTTGATCCAACATGACAGCTTCACTTGATTCAATGCAACTTGATTCAGAGTGCCTTGATCTGACTTGATTCCACGTTACCTTGATTCTACTTTAACTTGATCTTACATCACTTGATCCTACCTTCCAGGGTCTTTGTGCTATCCGAAAGCCTGCAGTGATGTCCTGGCAAAGCTGGGATCGTTCCAATTGGTCCACCTGGAACTCATGGGACCAATGGCACAATCAGCCTCACACATCCCCCCGTCGACCAAAAGTGGAAGACCAAACTAGCCCACAAGGCACCAATTCTTTCAATGTTGATGTGCCTGATTCCTTTTCCCAGACTCGTGATTATTTCGATACCAATGAATCCTATGGGCTCAAGCTGCCCACAGTTGCACAGGCAAGTGCATGGGCAAGCAAGCACAAATTAGCCGGCCGCCCACTTACTTCAATTCAACTGCGCGAATTGTGCTGGGGAGGGTGGCGAAACCACTCCCTCAGAGCCTTCGCTGCTGGCTCATATGTTTCAATTAACTTCGCTAGGAGCATCAAGGAGGCTACTTTTATAAGCTTCATGCTCCAGAAAATTCGTGAAAGCAAGTACGGCTTGGATGACACTGCTGATATTTTTTGCAAGGAACACAGCATCACCGTTGATGCGTCAGACAATGAAGCTCAACAAAAAAAACTTCAAAATGAAACAATTTTGCATGCACTTGTGTGATCAACTGGCTCCGTATCAGAAGCAAGAGCTATCTGATGCCCAGGACAGAATCAAGCGTCTTGAGCAAGAACTTGCAGAGGCCAAGAAGGGCCAATCTCAGCCCTCAGAATCATCAGGCTCTGCTGCCACCCGGCGTCGTGTGCCAAATCCCAAACGCCAAGCTGAAAGCTCTGGTCCTAATTCGCCTGTCGAGCCTGTTGAAAAACGGCTACGACTCCCTTTTACGTCTTCTCCGGCTCCTGTGGAATCTGTGCCGGATCCACGGACCCTTTTGCAAAAGGCTTTGGACCCAGAGTTTCTTTCCAAGAAAGTCTTGTCCTTGGATTGCCCGCCTACTGCCCCGCAGGCAACGAGCATATGGCTTGCCAGTTTGAAGCTCAGCGCACACAGCCGTCAGGAACTGACTGACCAAGGCCTGCAAATCAGCCTGCAGCACACTCAAGGCTTTGTCAACTGAAGATCAAGAGATCTTGACTCAACGTGCAGCTGACTTTGGTTTCCCTGTTCGCAATCTCAACGGTGCAAAACCAGTTGAAATTTTGAAGATTGTACTTGCAGCCTGTGCCTCGGCTTCTTGACTCGAACTCTCAAGCCGAAGTGATTGCAGTTCCGAGTTTCGTACGCAAACTCAGGAACTTTTTCTTCTTACCAAAACCTGTTTAGAGGCAGCCATCCATGAACCCTGCTTTGCTTCCTGGCGAGGTGGTTGTCGGGTTTGTGTGCTTTTTCTGTGTTGTCTTTGTTTTTTCGCCAAACTGGTACAGGAAAGCAAGGCAGATGGCGCCAAAGGTTTTCCCAATTCGATTTCAAAGGAGTTCCAGCAGTTGCTGCTGTTCAAGCAATGTTTGAACAGCCATTCACTGTGTATCTTATGGCCGATTCACAAATTGAGCCTTTCTTTCAGGAGGGGTCCAACTTTTTATGTTGGAAGCGCCACCATTGGATTGTAACACCGTCAAGATGACAGAATTCGAAAATTCAGGTGAAACCCTGGTAACCAAGGGATGGCACTACTTTTCCTTTTCTTTTTGTTTTCCAGCAGGGGGGCAACGGCCCATCTCTCTACGTTGCCCAATGAAGCTATGAGAGATGTGGTGGAAGCAGAATGGGACACCATTCTGTGTACCTGCGAATGAGTTTCAAAATCTCACCTACGAGTGAAGTTGAGAGTTTGTGATCTTCAGTTGGAGTTGCAGTCGTGCTGCAATCACATGTTGTCAAACATGTCAACTTCAGTGCTGAGTTGCAGTTGCAGTGGCAGTTGCAGTTGCAGTTACATGTTGCCAGACATGTCCATTGCTCACAAGTCAGTGGATCATGCGCAGTGCGAATAAATGAAATGCGAATTGTAAAAAATTCTAACTGCAGCTTTCGGGCTGCATGCAAGTGTGTGTTTGTGTGTGTGACACCCTGTTAGCAAAGGGTTTTCCTTCTTAGATTCAGTTTGAAGCAGGGGGCATGGCGGTCACATCCTAGCCATGCCAACGAAGCTATGGATGTTGACTGGAAGGGTTCACAGACGTGTGGACCTGTACCTGCAAAGGAGTCTGGCATGGGCGACGGAGTCGCAGCTTGCATTTTCCAACATTGATGTGTGACATTTTCAGGCATGTCAGTCACATGTCAAGATGTGGAACAGTTACAGACATGTCAGTCACATGCCAAGATGTGCAACAGTTGCAGACATGTCAGTTACTTGTCAAGAGAAAGCAAAAATGATGGTTGCAACGAAATCTTCTAACTACAGCTTTCGGGCTGCATGCAAGTGTGTGTGTGTGTAGGACCCCTTTGTGCACCAATGACGAACCTGCTGTTTCGCCTGCGAGGTGCAAGAATGCAACAGACATTTCAGATTTTACTACCAGTCAAGCCATGAGGCCGCAGAATAGCGAGCCTCGAATGTAGTTTGGTTTTTTGGAAACAGACGGCCTGCTTCTGACCAAATGATGAACAAGCAATGTGCTCGCAACATTGCCTATTGCTTGTGTTTCTGGTGTGACGTGTTCTGAGCGTTGTCTTTTGAGTTTCACTGAACACACTGTAGCCGGCAAAGTTTCCATAGGTGTTTGTCACTGCATTGGCTACGTGCAAGTTCCATGCTTGAGAACTTGGAGCCAGCCGCAAAATCATTGGTAAATGGGCTGATGGGATGCTTTGCACTGACAGGAAGGCGTGCCAGACCCAGAGGAGGCGAGCGACGCAGAAACCGTTCTAATTAGCAGTGCCGCTCTCTACGATTTCTCGTTTTGTAGCACAGGATCTCGTTTGCACACCGCCTTCACGGAGCAGCGCGCAGGACGCGCCTCAAAGGTTGCCGCACGTAGTCCGCAAGAGACTAAACCAGGAGTGTGCACAAACGCCTCAAAAGCTGGTTGCCGCCTTAAAGCTGCCCAGCTGTCAAGGATCAACTCATCCTGCTTGAACTTAAGGGGGCATTGCTCAGATTGGTAATTTGCACTGAGGCCCACGCCGCAAATTGCACCAGCGCGGCAGAAAATTCAGCACGAAGTGCCCATGGGAACCCACTTGCCACTTGAAGCAGAAGCAGGTGTTGTGTTTGCGAACTCGGGCGGTTGCTTCAGACAGACAAGTCATGTGTCATGTACCATTGAACGGGTGACAGCAAAGGAGGTGTCCGCAGCAGGGAGCCACGATCTGAGATGATGTCGATGCCAGCAAACTAGCACATTCGGATGCCAAGTTCTATTTTCGGCTGAGGTTTAGTGGAGAGGCAGAGCCGACGAAAACGCCAGGCAGTGAGATCTACCATGAACAGCATGGGCGGGCACTTTGTCAACAACATCTACAGGTGCTTCACATGTATCGGATGGATATGGATGATGAGGTTGGGCTGGGTGCACGCACCGCTGTTCTGAGGGTTGCAAACAAACTTCAACTTTCTGCAACCAAATCAGTGCTACATTTGCCAAAGCCTTGAGCAACCATGTGGGGGTGCAGTGAATGAAGGGCCCTCTGCACTTCACATGGGCGTGTGTTACCCAAGCCCATTCGTTTCTATTGCTGTGCGTCGCTCTAACAACCGCCCACGCACCATTGAAGGGACAAAAGGACCTCACAAGTCTATGATGAGCTTTGTGGTTCTTGAAGGCAACTTCTCCGGCATCTCCCACAGTCAACGAGGCTGGGCCAGAGCCAGGAGGTCTTTTCTCGTGCCTTGGCCACCTTCAGGAGCTGAATGCTGGCAACACTGCTTCATTGCCGATGTCGCTTGAAGACCAATTCGAATCAAGCTGGGAAAGGGCCCAAAGCTCTGCTGTTGATGAGGCTGGTCTTTCGATCTTGCGGGATACAAATACATTAGTTGCTGAAGTTGTTGTTTTGCCAAAAGGGTCTGGAGACCTGTGCACCTTCATGGATATGGGGCACCATTTCAGCGCATGGCCCTCAGGATCGACGCTGCATAGAGCACCAACAGATGTAAGGCTAAGCCTAAGCAACTTCAGAGGCCCTTCATGTGCTCTGGCTCTGCAAGTGGCGTGCTCCCAAAACCACGGCTATGCACTTATCCTTATCCTGAGGGCCCTTCCAAGCCACAAGCTGTTGCCTCAGCCCTACTTTGTGTTTCCTCCCGCTCTGTCTTCTGACTTACCTTCTATGCGTGTTTGGCCTTGCAAGAGGTGGGGATTCTTCATTGCCCAGAACAAGCGCCAAGCACGCCCACTGTGCGTGTAGTTGGATGCCTCATGTGCATTCGAAACACACGACGTCGTGTGAAGGCCTAACGTGGATGTCTTCGGGCCGGACTTGAGGCCGGGCGGAGTTCAGATTCAAAGGCTCCAAGCAAAAGCAAAGTGGGAGTGAGAAGCACCGAAATGATGCGGTCCAAGGAGCCCCCCAGAAGGAAAGTTCAAAAAGGCGGCGGAATCACAGTACAAGCCGAAGGAACATGACAAAACCAAGAAACATTTACTAATCCTTTCTCTTGTCGATGCTGTGCGAGCCATGCTAAGTCGCGAGATCATAGGGGCTGGCGGCTTGGGAAGCTTGCCGTTTGGGCACTGACCTCATTTGTGACATTTCGTGACTAGGTCATGTTGGGATCATCTGCAGGATATGTCATGTAGTCGTCATTTTTGATCGTCGTAATTAAATGAGACAGCATCTTTGTTGTGAGTTCGGATCACCTCCCCAGGAAAGGGCACGAATCTGAGGCTCAAGACAGGCCAGTCGCAGACGAGTTGCTGCGCATCCCGTTGGGTCGCCGAACGTTGCCAGGAAGACCGATGCAATGAACGACCCTTTCGCACGATCGGCTTCTCCGTGTGCCAAAATTGCCAAAACTCAATGTTGCGGACGACTACCATCAGTCTGGCATTCGCCTCATTTGTGATTAGGTCGGGTCTTGCTCATCGTTCCGAAATGATCCAGATCTGGACCAGAGACCCTCTCGCACGATCGACCTCTCCTTGCGGTCCTTGCGCCTGCAGTAGTACAGTAGTAGTAGTAGTAGTAGTAGTAGTAGTAGTAGCAGTAGCAGTAGCAGTAGTAGTAGTAGTAGTAGTAGTAGTAGTAGTGGTAGTAGTGGTAGTAGTAGTAGGAGGAGTAGTAGTAGTAGTAGTAGTACTAGGAGGTACCGGTACTTATAAGTGAACTTATCAGGTCTGAAGTCACGTTATAATTACTGCAGATCAGGTTATAATTGGCATAAGTGTACTTATCGGCCATGGACTTATAACTAACTTATAAGTAATTTAACCTACTTGTGATGTTGAAGCAGCAGGGGACTTACCCTACTCATTTTATTATGAAAAACTTGTTTTTTGAATAGTTTTTTCAAGTTTTTTCAAGAAGATTAAAATTTAAGCTGCGAGAACTAGCATTTGTTGATGTTGACTTGAAATGTACAATGTATGATGTTATTTTTCAACGTTTGTATTGTTATCTTATGAAAAGTTTTGAAATTGGACAGGACTTCATGTCCTTACCTTGAGCCCAAAACACTGCGGCCTGCGGCATGAGCAAAAGGAGAAGCTAAAAAGTTTGTTCCACGTGCAGACACTCTGCTGACGCGCGGCAATTTTGGCTGCCAGGCTGTTGCGTTTCTGTTGCGTCTGCTCTGGCTGTGCAGAGCTCTCTGTTGCGTCTGTTGCGTTGTATTTTACTGAACATTTTCGTGTTTTAGTGTCTGTTGCGTGCCTGTTGCATCTTGTTTTCCTTATATTTAGTACGAAATCAAACGCAACAAACGCAACAGAAATGCTTATCATTTTAAGTCTACCGTACCCTGTTGCGTTCTGTTGCGTCCTGTTGCCTCAATTTTTCCTTTAGTTTTGAGCGTCCTCGCTGCGGATGTCGTCTAAGGCATCCTTAAGAACTGATGGCTTTCGCTTTTGTCAGCCACCTTGTCGGGATGAAACGTATATATGTGATTTACTGGCAATATGAAGTGAAATCAACAATTTTCTACAACGAAACCTCGATTGTCATGATTATTTCACTTGAATATACGACTTTCTAAATTTGACATCCCTTAAACAAAAAATCATGTTTTTTAGAACTAAAAAGTTATCCTACTTATAAGTGGACTTATAATACTACGCATAAGTCCTTGTTAATAAGTAGGCTATGTAGACTTTAAGTGACGCAAGTGATGTTATAACTACCGGTACCCCCTAGTAGTCGTCGTCGTCGTCGTAGTAGTAGTAGTAGAAGTAGTAGTAGTAGTAGTAGTAGTAGTAGTAGCAGTAGTAGTAGTAGTAGTAGTAGTAGAAGTAGTAGTAGTAGTAGCTGAAGTTGTTGTTGTTGGAAAAGGTAGGACCACGGGTCCTCCTTTGGTTCCTTATAGGGAACAACCAAACTGCACAAATTATAGCGACCTCACTTTTCGGTGTGTTGGGGGCTCGAAAAGCTCAAAATCAGACCCCAGCGCGCATTTGCGTCTATAGGGCCCCTTAGGGTCTCCTAGGCCCCTACCGGGGGCCCTGGAGGGATTCTTGGGCGAGGCCCTATGAAGCCCAAGCCCCAGCAGGGCTGGGAGCGCAGGTGCGCATCTCTTGGTATGTGTTGGTTTCCTCTTCTTTCCATCCTCCGTCTGCCACCGCCTGCGCGCCCCCGGCGCGCCCCACTACCACGCAGAATCCAGGCTATTTCGGTCCAAATGCGCCTCAGAGTTCGATTTTTGATTTTTTTGGGCAGAATCCCGGCCGTTTGGGCAAAATGCGCTTGCAAGTCCGATTTTGAGCTTTTCGGGAACTAATACGAGAAGCTGGAGTTTCGGGCAAAATCCGGGCCGCTGTTGGCTAAAATGCGGCTGGGAGTCCGATTTTTGAATTTTTCCGGCCCCGAAAACATCGAAAAGCTGGGCTCCCGCGCCAATTCCGGGTCGTTTTCCCAAAATGTTTTTCGGGCCGTGAAAATTGAAAACGCCAGAAATGGGCAGCTTTCGGCCAACATGCGCCTGAGAGTCCGATTTTTGAGCTTTTGGGCTCTGAAAACATCCTCCCGCGCGAAACCCGAGCCGTTTTCCGAATTTTTAGCTTGTCGGGCCTTCAGAGCACTCAAAACCGGGCTTCCACGCAAAATCCGGTCCATTTGTCAATGTGCCTGGAAGTCCGATCTTTGGGTTTTTCGGGCGGTGATAACATCGAAAAGCTGGACCCCCCCGCGAGATCCGGGTTTTTTGGCGAAAATACAGTTGGGACTCCACTTTTTGAGCTTTTCGGGCCCCGAAAACATCAAAAAGCTGGACGCCTGGGAGCATCGAATCCGATTTTTAAGCTTTTCGGGAAGGAAAACGTCGAAAAGCTTGACTTTTCTGCGAAATCGGGCCATTTTCTGCGAAAATGCGTCTGGGAAATCCGGGCCCTTTTCGGCGAAAATGCGCCTGCGAATCAGATTTTTGAGCTTTCCGGGCCCCGAAAACATCGAAAAGCAGGACTCCGGCGCGACCATTTTCGGCTAAAATACGCATGAGGGTCCGATTTTCCAGTTTTTAATTTTCGGGCCTTGAAACTGCAGAATCCTGCTTTTTCGGCCAAAATACGCCTAGGAGTCCTATTGTTGCATTTCTCATGCCCCGAAAACACCGGAAAACCGGACTCCCACGCAGAACGAGCCGTTTTTGAGCCAAAATGCTCCTGGAGTCTGATTGTTGAGTGAAAGCAATGGGAAAAGCTGGACTTCCGCGCAAAATCCGGGCCGTTTTCGGCCGAAATGCACCTGTAGTTGCCAAGGGATGGGCAGCGTTAACATAATTGCAAAGTAGACACAACAAACTGTCGCGATCGGTCAAGAACCTAGTTGCAAAGAAGCCTGTGCACAGAGTCACAAACGAGCTTGCAACATAGTCGCACTTGAGTGGGCTCCCCGTTTTCTTTTGGCGTCAGGTTGCCGGCCTGCGTAGTTGACTGCTTGCTTCAAATGCTCCCGGCTCCCAGCTTAGCTTACAACGCTTGAAAGACGGCATCGAACATTCGCGGCGGCCTACCAGGTGCCGGAGATCTTGCACATGCGGGCGGTGAGCCGTCACTGCCCCGAATGGGACTTCGAGGCTGCGAAGATGGGCAAGTTGTCTAGTTCTAACTTGCGTGAGAAGCCACATGCCACCACAAAAGGTCTTTCTGCAGCACCTTGCCATCGGCGTTGGCCTTGCAAGGCCCTTCCCGAGCTCTCATTCACCTAGGGTTTAGGGTTTAGGG